GATGCAGAAGCTTCATTCTGCCTAGGAATAAAAAGCAGCTGACCCTCTCTCCCCTTTACATAATATTGTTCATATTGGTCCAGTTTACTGACAAAAAAAATGCAATAAGCCTATTTCCCTGGAAAGAACTGCATTTCAACCAGTTTTTGCTGGAATGCCAACTTCTAGTTGATGATTGAACCACAGGCTGAGTGTTCCCAACCTCTGCTGCCATGATACACCTGCCCGAATCATGACAAAAAGGGATTCCTTTAAAAAGCCACAGGCTCTTCAGGGTTTTGAGAGGAGAAAACCAACACAGAGCTTCAACCACTGTCAGTTCTGGCCCATCACAGCACATCCGAGACCATCGTTCACAAGAAGCTCCCAAAGCGAGACTGCACATCGCTCCCGCAGTGTTACGTGTTTCCTCAGCATCCAAGGAGAAGGAACATTTTGAACCCTCCAGTAGCCATTCTCACTCCTGGGTCTACAACCAGCTTTCTCGTTTACTTTTTCTTTGCTCAAAGATCTGGTCATATGGCTTACCCAGACAGGAATTATATTTTTTCTTTGCCATTGTCAATGGATAACTCTGTCATGGCAGTTAAAAAGGCATACGTGGTATGAGTCAGCAAGAGAAGGTAACACGCATGGAGGACCTGGAAATTCTTCCTTGTTCCTTTCTGCCCACCTTCTGAAGAGTCTCGGTTTGGTTAGCCAAACATCAGGTGGTGCTTCAGAGAAACAACCGGGTGGGCTGAAGCATAACTTGTCCCAGAAGTTCACTGCTCCGCTTGCCGCTAGTGAGGAAGGCTCAGAGCTGGCAGCCAGTTAAGACAGCAAGACAAACTCCAAGGCGGCGAAAGGAGCTGAGGGGAGAAACTGAGCGCCATGGAGCCCAACGTGTCTCACTATCCATTTTGGTTATAAATCCCGCTTTAAAATGTTACTTATTGTTACACCTCTGAAATATAATGAATTTTATAAGTCAGACCCACTCCTAGAGCCAGCGTTTTGAAAATGTCCAAATGATGATTTTTAATCAAGCAGAGGCTGAGCATGCATGTAGGGAGCACATATAGCAGAGATGCTGTAATGATCTCAGAAAATTATAAACTTAAATGCAGCTTGGATCTGCATACTAATGAAGAGATGCCTATATAGGCTTCTAGACAACTCAGTTTAAAAGAAATCAAAAAACGTCAATTTATTGCAGTGCAGAGTTTCGTTATCCAATTACACAAAGTATTAAGCATCTCATCATAATTAAAGCATTTTTGTCATTTATCTCATATAGATTTTGTTCTAAATTTAACCCTAACTCTTTTTGCTTTATGGTAATTCTCCTGGGAGTAATTACTAAATTTCCATAGCAGTGATTTGGGTAGCATAAGAGCATGTAACCTCAGCCTTGCTCCCTCCATCATAATGAAGATTTTGCCTAGAAACGTACTTTTTCCCCTTCACATTATTTTAAATATGACACATGTTCAATAACATGAAACTGCAGAAAACTTTCTCATATGATAATTCTATTGATTTTTAAAAGAAATAATTAAACTAACTGTTAAGACCAAGTTCATCAATACAACCTGACTCCTTTGTTCCCTCCTCCTGAGTAGGACAAATCAGGCAGGGTCTCCTGGTTCGCATAACCAGGTTCCTGGAGCTATTGCACCACTCTGACAACACACCGAATAGCCATTTTGTATCCCGTTGTTCTCCCCTTGCTCTCACGTCCACCTGCACACATCCCCACAGCTCCAAATCACACCCTTCTCCTGAATCTTCTCTATTGCATCCTACATTCCCCAAAACCTCCATCTCCATTCTCTTTTACGTGCTCCCTCAGTTTGCTTCTTCCTACACCATCAGGTTCCTTCGCAAAATAATGAGTGCAATTTTAGGAAAGACATATTGTATTTTTCACAGATGACAGAGACAGAATGCCAAATTGTGTTAAATGCCACCTTTCTTTCCACTTTGATGACAGAAGCATATCTGCAAATTATTAGCACCTCTGCTCAGACTACTTTAACAACAGGATTTTACTAATAACTAGTTCTCTGCAAGGTAAAGCAGGCCCCTGGTAGAAGGTGAAATGGGAAAGCCAAAAAAAAAAAAGCCTCCCGGGCTTCCTCTGAAAGCAAAGCAGCTTCTCATAGGGATGGCTGGCTCTCATTTTCTCTCATACTCTGATGGCCTTAAGACCTGGGCCATAGCTGCAATAAAATCTCTCCCCAAGTGAACTTGCGTATACCTGAATTTCTCTTTCGCTTCCAGTGATCCCACCAATGCCCTCATCGAGCAGCTGGTAACTTGTGCTGCCGCTTAAAGCTGCTCCTGCACCCAAGTGGCTGGAGCGAGGAATCTCTTCTGTGGCAGAGACAGACGGTAAATCTGGCAGCATGGGACTGGCGACTGGGGAGGTACGCCACCGGCATGTGCAGCCGGAGGCGGGATTCTTTAGAGTCTCTCGATGAAGGCCATGTAAAATGTTCATGGATTTCATTGTATTCAAGGGACACTGCAGCCGGTGTGTAGGTCCCCGATGACACTCTGATTGTGCACCTCTGCAACAAGCGAGAAAAGGCCTTCAAAAATTCAGGTCGATAAGACTCAAATGTAATACATTCTGCAAAATGCACTCTTCTTTACATGGAACAGCAGATTCAAAACATTAGCAGCAGTTTATGCTGAAGAAATGGCTGAACACTGTGGAAGAACTACAGAATACGGAGCAATGCACAGCCTAAATAAGGCACGCTTAACGTGGTGCAGCACAGCAGCCCTAGCAGATCCATTACTCCCCACTCAGCGGAGTCACGAACACTTCTTTACTGACAGAAACATTCATCCGCAACATTCCCGAGACCGGTGTTTGCAAGTGGCAGGATTTTCTTGAGAGGAGTAGGAATTAGTGTGTGCCGGCATTTGACAATGTTATTTCAAGTCCAAGATAGGTTACAGATAATTTATACATCTCCCTGAAAAATAATGCTCTTTCTGGAGGTGCTTATATCTGTTCAACAGCCATGCAACTCAGTGGCCTGAGAAATGACTTTCTACAAATTGTTTTATTTTAAAAATAGCTTTTTAATATGTATTTCAAAGGCTTATTTACAGTAAGTACAATTATTAAATCTGTTAGGTACACCGGCAGATGTGCAGATCAGCACACACATGTAGCTCTCAGGTTAATGTTATTTTAAGCTGCTTACATAGTTCCAAAATCCAAGATTTGTCCCAGTTGAGATGGCTCTAACAGGTGTAATTGGAACAACAAACGTGTTAACAGATCACAACATCAAAAGTGTTCATCAGTTCTGTGCCCACACTTAACAAGACTTCTAACAACTGACACTGTACGTATCACTGTAACGCCTGAGCATCTAACAAAGGCTTCCATCAAAGATCAGCAGATTCTCTTAACTAGGTGAAACTTGATACACTAAACTCTGTAAAAGCATTTACTTTTCGTCATGTTTAAAAAACAAAGTTACGCCATGTCTTGGCTGCTTTTCAAGTGTCAAATTCAAACCCCAGTGCATGCACCCAGCTCCCATTAAAAGCAGTAAGGGATGCAAGACACTGTCCATTTGGCCTTCACTAAGTGAAATGAAACCCAGAAAAGAAAAAAGAGAGGCAAAAAAAAAAAAGCAGATTTTGCTAGAGTTAACACAGCAACAGAGCCAGAGGTTGAACTCAGGAACGCTAACTACCTTCCCCACATGCTTCTGACTGCATTCACTGTGGGGAATTAGGGCAAACCAGGGAAGATGCAGTGACATTGATTAGAAAGCAAAATGGGTTAGGAAGCAGTGACATTATAGCGGGTCAAAAATAGACAATATAGGAACAGAAGAGAAAAAGAAAGAAAATTGAGAATAACAGGCAAAAAATACTGAAAGCTACCATCAGAAAGGAAGTAAGATGATGTGATGCAACAGCAAGCATAAATAAAAGGAGATGCACTGAAGAGAGGCATTTTTCAGACATGTTAAATAGCTGATTGTCAAAATATTTTCAGTAAATACACAGACGCCACGTATACCTCTAGTAGGTGCATTTACTAGTGCGTACAATGGCCTGGGTGGTAGGCTGATGTTGAGGCAAGACAACTCTTCTCTTTACTGCTCATCCATCCTAGCCCCTAATCACATTTGCAGCTGCCTCAAAAATATTATCACACAGCGTTAGTTACTGACTGCACTTGGCAAAACCCAAAAGGCAGCTGTGATCATGCCCTCAGAGTTTTGAAAAGGAGAATTACTTTAAATTCCATATAAAAGTCATATAAAGACTTGAGACTCACAATAGAGCAGACTCTTCAAAAATACACTGCTGAAGTTGCTGGCACTTATAGCATAAACCAGAAAGGTGCTATGACTGTCCCAGAGTCAGACACCTCACATCCAGGTGACAACCAGCAGCTCACCAGTGGAGTCCAGCACAGCCAACATGGCCCTGGTTCCCAGGATAGAGGTGGGCTCAGAACAGGAGACTGGAATGGACATTGGGATAAAAAGAAGGGAATGTGGAAGACAGCGAGAATGGGAATGTCCAACCTCCTGAGTCCTATCTGTCCTTTCTGAAATTACCAAACACTCCAATAAGCTGAAAGACCAGACGAGAAGTTTTTCCCTCCTGCTGGCCTGTTTTGCATATACCCGAACAAGGCCCAAACACATCCTTATCCTTAACATACTGAAAGTGTTCTCCACAGGCTTCAGATAAAACTACCTCCCAACCAAACCCATCTTCCTGACTACCAAAACCCCTCCCTCCAGGGCTCTATAAAAATCAAAGCTGTCTGACACACTTTATTCCCCCAAAACAGCATTTATCAAAGCTTCATTTTTTAAAACCTGACTGTTGTGAAACTACTGCTAAAGGGGGAAAAATGAGGTCCTGGTCTCAGCAGTTGCACCTATGCATCTGGAGAGACACCAGGGAGAAGCCCTGCTGGTCGCACCGACAAAATTCATCCCTCCAAGGGCACCAGAACAGATGGATCCACAAAGCAGAGAGACGAATCCACCCCCATGTCCTACAACAGCTCAACATCAGCACTAATCAAATCAGAAGGAAAATGCGCACAGAAAAGGCTGCTTTGCTTTTTCATCCCTCAGTACCCAAGCCTTCTGCGTTCTACTTCCCAGCCCCAGTCTTGGAAACAGCCATCAACTGTCCACACCCTCCATCACTTGACAACTACAGCCAGCTACAGGGATCTGCATTCCTGGAAGGCTGCGTCTCCTGAGGAGGATGAAAGAGGCAGAGAAGGGGCATCATGAGCTGCGGCCACAGATCTGCTCGATGTGGTAGATCTCCTTGGGACAGTCTGCAGACAAGATGAGAGGCGCATCCTCTGTTATCACAACATCATCCTCAATGCGCACACCAATGCCACGAAACCTCTCCGGGGCACTCATGTCATCCTCAGGTATATAAATGCCTGAAAGAAGGAAGGGAATTAAAACACACAGCACTCTCCACAACACCAGCTTTCCCTTACTGCACCACCATGAGAGCAGGGTTGGATTTTCAGCAACATAACACGAGTTTGATGGTGACAATTTTTAATAAGGAAAGCTACTCTCTTTCCCCTCACTCATGGCAGTTGGTGGGCAAAGAAAGGAAAACATCCCTCAGTGGCTACAGACACTAGCATGTTAATAAGAACTTCCACAATTACAGCTGGGCTTTCTGCACTTCTTGCTCTCAATACTATGCTCACAATGATGATTTTAACAATGTTCTGAATAGAGAGAGAGAAGAGCCAAGCATTAAATATCAGTTTCCAGCTGACAGCTCCAAATCCAGCGACAAGCAGAAAGATTCATCGTGAAATGCCTAATTTGCAAAGCTAAGTTGTAAATGCCTGTAATTGCAGACTGCAATGCTTGAGACTTACACTACCAGCGACTGGTAGTAGTTTAGTCACAGTAACACAGAACACAGCACGAGTGAATTGACCCTGCTTCTCTGCACTGCACTCAATCACTGTCTGACAGTTTACTCCCACAATTTGTTACCTTGGTTGTGTTTGGGAGGGAAATAGGGTTTTCTAATACTGTAATGACTTCGGGAGGGGAATAACTTAAGGTTTTCCAATACTGTAATCATTTTCAATTGCACCAGAAAAGACGTGAATGCTTTGGTCTGAGGGACCAACTAACTAGTGAAAGCAATACTGTTATCCTCAGTGTTGCATGTTTTTGTCCACCACTGACTGCATGTCTTTTTACCTGGTTCAATGGTTATCACCATGCCGGGCTGGAGTGGGAGCGACCGGGATATATCTGGGGTATCATGAACATCCATGCCCAAGTAATGGCCCACATGATGTGGGCAGTACTTTCGAACAGCCTAGCAGAAGACAAAACAAGTGTCATGGAGGCAGTTAAACACAGTTCAACCTCTTGTTACAAAACAAAAGATGGGGATAAGAGACAGACTAGTTACGTGCTTAACTAGCAATCTTACTGCCATGACTAGGTCACCAGGGGCTGTCTTCTCTTTACCAGAACTGGGTAAAACCCAAAAACCTCAAAACCCACCAGTACCAGGTGCTTATTATGAGCATATTGCAGACTCCCTTTCCCCGTCACTGAAAAGAACAGCCCAAGCCCATCACCACCTCAGCATGTCATGCAAGACTTCAGTTTTCAGCTCACTGAGCTTTGCTGCCCCAACCCTTTCCATCCCTTAAACATCCAAGCCCTGCATTGCTCCCATCAGCAGACCCTGACAACCGGCAGCAGCTTATACAGCTGCTATGTGATGTGGCAGAGGTCTCCTATGCACGACAGAGTGGACGCTGTGCCAATTCCACTCAGCAGCTACAGCAGGATTTTAATCCACGTCTACAGGGCACTGACACCGCCTCCCCCTGCACCATCCTAATCCCTCTCCCTCCAGAGAGGAGCTCCTTGACAGCAGGA